AAAAAAAAAAAAAAAAAAAAAAAAAAAAAAAAAAAAAAAAAAAAAAAAAAAAAATTAGGAACTACCTTCTTTCCCGAATAGAACGTACGGTCATTATCATAGATGTGTATTTACTATTTAGACTGAAAGATGGCTCAAATATAATGACCGTACATTGTATTCGGGGGAAGACGGTAGGAAGACAGTTCTCCTGTTCTGTCTGTCTCATGCTGAATCAAATTTCTATGGGCCTCAATCTCTTATGCCATCCTTTGTGGCCAGTTTGTAAGATTAAGGCAACTTCCTTGGGCTTCTTTTTACTTGATTTTTTTTTTTATGCTCCCCCTGTTCAATCTCGAGTCTACAATGTCTTTTTCTTCGACCTCTCGACTTCCGTCAGCTCCTGGACTGTGTGATTTTCTCCTTATTGCTCTCCATCCAGTGCTCTGCTGCTATCCCCCGTTTTCTTTTCTTCCCTACCTTGCATCGTTTGGAGTCTTTGGACCCTTGGAGCCAATTGTTAATCTTCATAAGATCTCCCTCTTACCTCGGCTACGCTCCCCTGCTTGAGCCAAGTTGTGTGTGTGTGTGTGTGTGTGTGTGTGTGTGTGTGTGTGTGTGTGTGTGTGTGTGTGTGTCACGTGTGTGTGTGACAGAAACTAGCCCTGCCGGACTGCGCTCCTATTCTGGGGATCTTCACTCCTGTTCCTTTTCCACCAGCAAGTCATAATAGCAATACCCACTCAAACACATCCCCACGTTATGGCACGGGTATCCCTAGCAATGATTGCTTTGCGGCGGGAAGGACTGACTATCTTTGCTGCCCACAGGTCCTGCAGTTCCTTCCCCCTATTGGCTACGTCTCTAGAGAGAATTTCAAACCGGAACCAAAACAGACCAGCCTTTCCCTCTTGGGGGCTCATCAGACTCTGTGCTCTACGATCTGTGGGGCTGGCCCTATGGGTAGGGGTGTGTCTTGCCCCCGCGTGTGTTCGTTTGGCCGGACTGCATACGCGTTTTGTTTGGCGAGCCCCTTGCATGCGGCGTGGTTCATTATGCTGTGAAACATCGACAAGCGGGAGCATCTCGCTCGGATGTGACCACTGAGGGTGATCGCGCACTTGCATGCAGAGCTCTGCATGAGTGTGGAGGGAGGTGGCAAGCGGATAGTTGCATGCCGAGGGAGGTGGCAAGCGGATAGTCGCATGCTGAGGGAGGTTGTAAAAGGGGTAAGGAGGGTCATGCCTGCAAGCAGAGTTGCATGTAAAGCTTGCTGGGGGGACATGGCCTGGACGATCAAAAGAGAAGCTAAGGAGGGGAAAGACATGGTGCAGCTGATCAAGGCTCCTCCTCAATCTAGACCTATCTTGATCTTCTTCCCCACACCCGATTCCATTTCCAAGGGCACCTGTCCATACTTTCAACCAAGTTCACTTGCGATCATTTAAAGAGTTGCTTTCAAGGAGTTTGGGTATGCTCAATTTTGTGTCGCAGTATTGGTTGAGGATCTGTGATCATTTAAAGATCGCAATTTTTGTTAAGGTCTAAAGTCGTGTGTGGGCATTTTGTGAGTAGCGCTATTTCTACGGGGCCCTTTCGGAGGACCGCCCTCCACGACTCATTTAATCTACAAAGCGCGGCCTCCTATATTTTCGGAGAGGCTCAAAACAGGTTCTTTAGTTGCCTGGGGCCATGTACCGGTGGTTTAAGATCAGAGCGAACACACTCCTACAGCACAGGTAAGTCCACACTACCAATAACCCACACCATATCATTAGGACTTCTCCAAAGCTTCCAAAGAACTCCCGCCCTAACCAATTCAAAGACATAAGAGCAAGGCTTGGACAGAAAAAGAAGGACAGTTCCGAGGAGCATGACATCATTTGCGCAAAGCGAGCCCCAATTTGGGGGGGATCAATAGTCCGCTAAACGTGTTAGATAGAGATCGCAACAGAATAGGTTATGAAGAGATGCTGAATATCTCATATCTGAGTCACACGTCTGATGAAAGGCGTACCCTTGCGAGCTCGATGGAAAATCGTCGTTGCTGTAGGGACAAGACGATTGCCATTAGCCATAGCAAACCAACAACTTTACCACTATGACAACCAACAGACGCAAAATCTTTGAAAAAAAGGCAATCTAAGAGGGGTAATCTTTGAGAGATTATGGGAAAACCCAACAAACGGTTCCATTTGAGAGTAAGTGCACCTTCAATATCCACATCTAGCAAGTTTCAAATAGGCGGATTTAACGGACCACTGTAAAAAGGGAGAGTGTCAAGGAGGGCGTAAGCGGGTGGGACCATTCCCAGTCCCTAGGGTCAAAAAATAGGTTTTGAGTCTACGCCAGGTCTGTCAAGTTATAGGGTTGAAACATTGAACCAGTAGCACCACCTCCACCACACACACCGATCTCCTCTACAAATTCAACTCTACTCTTCCGACATATGCACTTTAGAGCAGGCCCCCCAGGGCCGATAGCCCCCAGGCCCGATAGCCGTCCTCAACCATTCGAGAAGTGATTTCCTAGCGAGTGTCAAACGTCTGCGCACCCAACCTTCACAACTTCAAAGGGCAGGGAAGTTGCGAGTCCTTCAACAATGGACCTAGAAGTAACTTGAATCACCTTCATCCACTCTTGTCGTAAGGCTTGAAGAATTTGAGACCTCTGGTTTTCCACCAGCGAAAATCCTTGAACGTAGATTATATCTCCTGCTATATTTTCCACCGATATTTGGATACACTCCACAAATGAGCCAATATAGCAACTCCCAGACCCATCCACATTAACCAATAACCCTCAAGAGGGAAGGGATGATCATCCTCATCAATCAGGTACGGATTGAGCCAGCAACCGGTTATACTGAAGGACAGGAGACCTCCATTGTCTAAGAATATCACGCAAAACCACAGAGAGGATACACTTGGCACATAAAGGTTGCAAGTTGCAACACCAATGCCAAAAGAAGACTTATGGGTTTCCAGAATACTTGTGATCGTGTCGCGTATCACTACATATGGCCTTATTGCAAGGAGTTTATCCAGAGTTACGTCCAGGAGTGTCGTACTTGTCAAGAGGTGAACAATGTGAACCACCCTTCGTATCGGTTACTCCTACACGTATGTAAGGGTCGTTGACACTCCATCTCCATGGACTTTGTTGGTCCCTTCCGCCCTTCCACACATTATATTTTGTGTCGTCATGGCGTTGGCGCTTATGACCCCGCCGATATTGTTTTAAAACGAGTCGTAAGAGACCCTAACTCACCTCAAAGCATCATCTTTTATCGTGAATCACGCTTC